TCAAATGATCCTCCTGCCTCAGCCTCCAGAGTAGCTGGGACTACAGGTGTGTGCCACAACACTTGGCTAGTTTTTCTATTTTTTGGAGAGACAGTGTCTCGCTATGTAGCTCAGGCTGGTCTTGAACTCCTGACCTCAAGCAACCCTCCTGCCTCAGCCTCCCAAAGTGCTAGGATTACAGGCAGGAGCCACCCCACCCAGCCTAATTATTTGTTAATTGCTTTGTCTCTCAACTAGGCTATGAGACAATCAAGGGAGAAATCTGAGGTTTGAGCTTTTTAAATCTCTGATGCCTCGTATCATGCCTGGGACCTAGAAAATGTTTGATAACTGAATGAATGTATGAATGCTGACCCTTGCCAGAGAGTTTGCAAACTAGAGTGTGATTTGCATCAATATTCCACTAGAGGGAGTGATGCAAAACACAACATTTTAAGCTTGTTCCCACCCAGACTAATATAATCTGATAAAATACTTTGTTTTAAGCTAGAACTAATGTACATCAATCCCTGATAAGCATGAGGAAACATATTTATAAAAGTTCACTATGTTCCAGGCTCTGGGTTCAGCAATGGATACTTCTTATCGGTACAGATTAATAGAACTAGGGTAGGAACCATAGGTAATAGTATTTTACGTTTCTGTGTCATGTAGCATGCATTCCAAAGCTTTTCTTTTCTCAGACACAATTGCATTTTCTGCAATCTGCTCCACCTACAAAGCCTATTGCTCCATATACAATAAATGCTGAGGAATCCGATGACTACACAGCTTTCTAATTTCCTGTTGTCCTAGATACCTCATATCCTGTAAGCAGAAACAACTCATACAGCCTAAGATCTAGAATCTAGATCAATTTTGAGGCCAATATTAGCGTCCAGTGAATGTTTCTGGTTGACACATGCTCAGCCTGAGAACAGACTCTCCCAGCCTGGGTAAACACTGTCCTTGCTGCCTCCTTAGAACAGCATTGACCAGTTCAGCATTTATCACAGTGTATTGTAGTTGTCTGTGTACTTATCTACACCCAGACAAACCTGTGAGCTCCTTCAGGAGGCTGGCATGGATCTTAGTCTTTCTCCTAGCTTAAGCTGCTGGCATAGCACCTGGCACATGGTTACTGTTCAGTAAATATTTGTTAATGAATAAATAAGCTAATTTCATATTTTTATAAGGGTAGTGAAAGACTAATTTCTACAAGCACTCTCAGGGAGAGGCTAGATTGCTTTGGGTATGAGCTAGTCTTATGTGGAAGGAAACTGTCTGATTTAAGACCACTAGCAGGTTGCATGGACACACACTCCTCCCTCAGAATCTTCCCAAACCAGAAGCTGAGGTGTCTAACTTTCATCATTAGAGTGTCACACATTTGGATTACACATGGCTCCCTGTCAACATATCTTGAAACCATGTGCCATCATTGTCACATAACTTTCATTTTCTTTTCTTTTTTTTTCACTTCAATCATTTCTTTTGCTTTTTGAGTCACATAACTTTCAAATCTCAAATATCCCCAGTATTTGAGATATACCACCAAGCTGTGCTCCCCCAGCTCTGTTGAGAATCTCAAGTGGACCTCTGCTTACTTTCTGTATTTTTCATTAGAAAGTGGTTTACTTGTCTTTTAAAATACATAGGTATATATTAAATAAGCTCTTTCAAACTATACATATCATAATATTTGCAAAACAATTTAAACACATCAATTTATATAACTGTGAGTTAATAATTATACTGAAAATAAAAACAAAAGCTTGGTTGGTCACTATTAGAAGCTCTAGTGGTTGACTCCTTATGTTGAAAATTGGCAAATGTAGAGAAAAAAATCACCCATTTATTTTTTTCTATATAAACTCTACCATTGGGTAACCAAAATTTAGTTAAGGGAGAAGTCTGTCTTCATTGCAAGAGTTCAGCAAGTAAATGAAGAAGAAATGATAGAATTAATATATCACCTCTGAGACAGAATTAGAATGCATTAATGAATTAACAAATTTAGACACTGAGCATCAATGTCTGTTAATATGACAAAAAGAAAGGTAACTAGACATTATATGTCTTCTGTTGGAAGTGTAAAATATGAACTATAAGAAAGTCTGATCAAACTTCTTTGTCCAACAACCAATTCATGAGAAATATAGAGAACAGCAGAACACATTAAACCAATAAAATGTAAGAAAAAATTACAGTTATGAAACAATCGGAAAGTTGAACATTGGCTAGATCTATGATGATATTAATTGGTTATTATCACTTTTTAAGGGAAATAATGCTATAATGCCATTGTGGCTTTGTTTTATAAAAAGAACCCTTATCTTTTAGAAATGCATACTAAAATATTTACAGAAGAAGTAATATGATGTCTGGGATTTGCTTCAAAAATAGTGCAGAGTAGTAGCAGGGCAGTGGGTAGGCATATAAACGAGACAAGATGGCCTAGAGTTGATAATTGTTGAAGCTGAGTAACAGGTACACAGGAATTCATTCTACCATTTGCCTATGTTTATAGGCAAATATATGTTTGTATATACTTAAAATTTTCCATAGGAAAAAATTTTTCTTTTATATTATTAACTTCCTGAATATTTTTGTCCTAAGGGATAGCTATCCCTCTCCTACCCCTGAAATCATTATCCTGGGGAGTCTTCTGAAAATTGCAAATACCCTGGGAAAAGTAACTTATTAATTCATTAACATCTCTTTGCAAACTAATATGGAAGATTATTTCCTGGACTGCCTTTAACTATGAAGATACAAAGCACCTGTGAGAAGAGGTGAAAGAAAACCTTGGGGGAGGAAGAAAGAAGGGCTGAGGGAGAGGGAAAAAAAAGACGAAGAACAAATTTTGTCTTCAGTACAATTTTCTTAGGGTTGGCATATACATCTTCTTTGTGCGGGCTTTACTAAAAGATATTTCACCGGAGGCATGAATAAAAGGCTTAAATTCTTGCCTTTCAGGTTAAATTTTTACAAAGGATCCCCTTCATGTTGTCAAACGGTAATATAAATATTTTCAGTAGGAAAGGGGCTTGTTTTCCTTTCCTCAGTGAGCCAATTATGAGACTGCCTGGGTGGGGCTAGGATGCATTTTGCTTAAACCTGAGAACAGTCTAGACCTGTACACACAACCACAAGGATGTGGCAACCAGGAGACAGTAAGAGTCATCTCAACTGCTCAAGAATATAACTTTTCATAGAAGATCCCTGGAAGAACACCAAGAAACTGGGGTACTTGGGACATGATGGGAAGAGAAAAAAAAAGTCGGGCTCTTTATTGTTACAGCCAGGTTATACTGTGGTCAGCGCCTTAAAATATATGATGACATTCTGCAAACAGCCTTTTGTTGACCTAAGTGACTGTACCTTTATCTTCAAATTAGAAGACAGATGGCTATTTATGGTTTCCTTGGCTAGGCCAACTGCTGGGTACCACCCGCTGTTTGCATTTCCCTTCACATATTCTCTTGCCCAGTCCTCCCTTCCCCACCCCAGCCTCTCAGAACCTAATTAAGAGTAGTAACATCTTATATTTTCCTGGTTAGAGCTGGAACCCATACTACTAAGTGAAATATCCCAAGAATGGAAAAATAAGCACCACATATACTCACCAGCAAACTGGTATTAGCTGAGTAGCACCTAAGTGGACACATAGGTACTACAGTAACAAGGTATTGGGGGGGGAGGGGAGAGGGGGACTGGTATATACATACATAATGAGTGACATGTGCACCATTTGAGGGATGGTCATGCTGGAGAATCAGACTTGTGGGGGAGGGGGGAAAGGGCATTTATTGAAATCTTAAAATCTGTACCCCCATAATATGCCGAAATAAATAAAAAAAAAAAGAGTAGTAGATGGTCACTAGAACTGAGAAGGATAGCATTCTAATAGTTTTATTACAACTTCTACCGTGTGATATGGTTCTGGACAAAACTCAAAATTTCCCACAGTCCCACCCCACTAGCGGAGCCCAGTGAACACTCTCTCTGATGGCTCCTGTTTTACCTTAAATGTTCAAGTGAATTCTGTAGGGCATGATTTAGCGCCTTGTTCTTTATAGAACATGATATTATAAGTTAATACTAGGAGAAGTGTCTCACCATGTTTATCCTGTGGTCTCAAGTAGCCCTGCACACTGCATATCCCTGGAGTCCTGAATCCAGTTTCATGTTTTTGCTTTTTCCTCTTGGTTTATGTAGGTTAGTATTTACATACATTAAAATTCACCAGTTTTAACCGTCCAGTTTGATTAATTTTGCTAATTGTATGTAAGGTGCAACCTCCACGATCATCAAGGTATAGGAGGGTTCCATCACCTTGAATAGCTTTTCTATCCCTCTTTGCCCGAGTTCAGTTTTTGAGATACTGGATTGAGTTCTGCAGCCTTCTCAAGCATCACCTCTCAGGGTGATTTTTAGGAAAGTCACTTTAACTCTCCGGATGCATTTCTGCTCTTGCCCAACGAGGAAAGTCAGAACAGATTTGTTTCTAGGGGCTCTTCCAACAACACTTTCAGAAAAAGCGCGGGATGCAGACCCTGGTGGGTAAAAGCGTGCGGTCGCATCAGACAAAGTTAGGTTTTCATCTCTTCTCTTGCTCGTGTGTGACCTTTTTCTAAGCATCAGTTTCCTCATCTCCAACATCAGGCTTGTTAACCAGGCCTATTTGCAGACTGTTGTGACGATGCAGTGAGACGTGCTGGCACGCTCAAACGTTGCTTGGTATTTTTATTACACTATAAATTAAAGTCGCTGCATTCGACTATCTCCGCTACTACATAACGACGCAGAATGATCCCCACAACCAAAACAGAAGCACAAAGCGCCTCCCCCTCGCCCTCAACCAGGGCTGACACCGTTCTGGGACTCTTGACAACACACGGGCACGCGTGCCTGCGTTTCCAAAGAGCCTCGGTAGGGGGCGGGATCGCGAACCGGACGTTCCGACGTACAAGCGCGACGTAAAGCGGGTCTGCTTTACGGCACCCAGCTTCCGCCGTAAAGCGCCGTCGGCGAGCCCACGTGGGTGTGTGTGTTGACGGAACAACTTCCTGGTGAGAAACGCGACTGTCGAAGGTGGGCAGACTCGACGTTTTCGCCATGGGCAAACGCCGGAGCCGGACCCAGAGCCAGCTGCTCAACAGCCTAACTAAAAAGCAGAAGAAGCATCTCCGGGATTTCGGCGAGGAGCATCCCTTCTATGACAGGTCCGGAGGAGCGCGGCTGAGGCCAGCGCTGCCAGCGTCTTTTTCGAGTAGGAGACCGCGTTTCCCCTGGGTTTGGTCCGCTGGTGTCCCAAGGATAGTGGTTAGGGTTGCTCCAGCCTTATCCCATGCTTCCTCGACCGCCGGCTCCGGGTCGGTGCCTGTGTTCGGCTGGGGACTTTCTGGCGCCGTCCTGCCAGGAGATGGAGCGCTTCGGGGGCTTCTACTTTTTGTTGAGATTGTAACTCCGTGGTAGACTACACCCCCACTGTGTGTGGGCAGATTTTTGTATGATCGGAGATCTTCGGAGGTTGTTTTTTTTTTTTTATGTTTTTAAAGAATTGGTTGGGACTTTGGACACCACTGATCTATACAGTTACAATAAAGGAACAAATGTATCGATAGTTTGTGATTCCTTTGGAAATGTCCAGACTCGGTTATGATCTTAGCTCCTTCTGCCACTTTGGGCTGCTTTTTCAGCAGTTAGAGGGATATTCTAATTAAGAAATTTGCTATAAAAAGGTGAACCCCGAGGCATTTTATTTACCAAAGTGTATCCGTCTTTTGGATGAGAGCCAGTTATTGTGAGACTCAAATGTTTGTCATATGACTTGGTTAAATTTTTCATTTGTCATTTATTAACGATTTGTCATATTCTTGCAATTCCTGTCCAAGTGCATATGTTATTTTTACGTGGCTATAGTTATAATGTGTTCATAATGGTATATTCTGCCCTTTTTCATTTAAAGTTGTATCGTTAGAGTTTTTCCTCATTGCTACATACTAGTGGAGTTTTTGGGGTTTTTGTTGTTGTTGTTGTTTATTTGTGGGATATTTTTGGGGTTTGGTTTTGTTTTGGTTTTTGGTTTTTTTTCCAAGACAGAGTCTCACTCTGTTGCCCCAGCTAGAGGTGTGGTGTTGTCAGCATAGTTCACTGCAACTACTGGGCGCGAGCAATCCTCCTGCCTCCCCCTATGGAGTAGCTGGGACTATAGACCTACACCACCATGCCTGGCTAATTTTTTTCTATGTTTTTGGCGGAGACAAGGTCTCACTCTTGCTCAGGTTGGTCTCAAACTCCTGACCTCAAGTGATCCTCCTGCCTGGGTCTCGCAGAGTACTGAGATTATAGGCATGAGCCACTGCACCCAGCCTACTAGTGGAGTTTTAACATTACCTGTTTCTTCTCAGGGTTTCCAGAAAGGAAGGAAAGCCACAGATTTGTCAACTGGTAATGCTTTATACCTTCTTTATAATAGTTGGTCTGGGTTGTTACCCTTTATATTATATATAATAATAAGCTTGATTACATTTTTACTCCTTTGATTTCAGATGTAAGCTTATTTTAGTATATTACTTAGATTTAAATGCAGATGTCTATAAAAATGTCATTGTGCTAACTAATACAGAAGGCAGAGGTTGAAACTGTCCCAAGAGAGTAGCCTATTAGATCTTATTAAAGAAGCTTACCAGAGGGCTCTTAGTGAATTCTAAGGGGAGTTGTCTTTTGCTTAACATAAAAGGAGTCACAAATAAAGTGCAAAATAATCAAAGGTCCTATGGAATTTCAACAAACTCAAACTATATTCTTTTGTTGTTTTCTAATTTTCCTATTGCTCCTTTTTTTTTTTTTTTTTTGAGACAGAGTCTCGCTTTGTTGCCTAGGCTAGAGTGAGTGCCATGGCGTCAGCCTAGCTCACAGCAACCTCAAACTCCTGGGCTCAAGCAATCCTCCTGCCTCAGCCTCCCGAGTAGCTGGGACTACAGGCATGAGCCACCATGCCCGGCTAATTTTTTTATATATATTAGTTGGCCAATTAGTTTCTTTCTATTTATAGTAGAGACGGGATCTCGCTCTTGCTCAGGCTGGTTTCGAACTTCCGACCTCGAGCAATCCACCCGCCTCAGCCTCCCAGAGAGCTAGGATTACAGGCGTGAGCCACCGCGCCCGGCCCTATTGCTCCTTTAAACATGTAGCCTAATATGTGGGACATAAATCTCAGTATCGGGCTTGGTTGAATAGATGAGATTGCATAATATATGCAGAAAAGCTAATTTTTATTTAGGAATTTCTGAACTTGTTGGTTTGATGATAGTCTTAGGGTAACAATGAGACAAATAGAGTTTTTGTTTTTAAAATTCCCATTTTCATTTTAGTCAGAGAGTTCAGATACTTCAAATTCTGAAAGCGAAGCAGAAAGTGAACCAGAACAAGTTTCTGGGTACCACAAACTACTTGCTACATTAAAGACTGTTTCTGAGGAAGAAAAGGAAGATGAGGAGGAGGAGGAAGAGGAAGAAGAAGACAGTGTTGTAGGTGATACAGAAATGAATGATGAAGATGATGATAGTGATGTCAGTGTGGAAGAAGAGAAGGCAGCGGAGTCTACTGAAATGCAAGAAAGTAAGTGTCTTTGGTGTGAGCCTATCATCTTTGTGTGGACCATAGACCGATTACCCCATGGACACAGGGCCCTGTATTGTATGAGTTGAATGAGAGCACATGGATCCAGAGTAGAGATTTAAGCTTGGCGGGTTTGATTATATCTTTGAGAATCTGATGAAAACACAGGACCCTCTCCCAGAAAAATGCGGAAATAACATTTTTGCTTATGATTTCAGAACTTCATAAATCCTAGTGAAAGACCCTGTAATACCGAGGAAGGAGAACATAGTTCTGCCTTTGTGACTGTCTTACTTTATTGCGAGGTTACTGTTGTCTCCCTGAGGGAGAACAAGTTTGATGGAAGAGAGACATAAAAATATACAAAAATTTTCAAGCAGCAGATTTTCAATTGCCTGGAACAGCTGGATCAGTGGAACACTGCTAGGATAAATTAGGAACAGCTTCAGGGAAGAGCTGGCATTGAAAGCCCAAAGGAACTCTATCTCATTCAGACTTCTAGTTCACTGTTTTCTTTAAATCAACTTCATTGAGGAGTGATTTACATACAATAAAATGTACCCAATTTAAGAATATAATTTGATGAGTTTTACATCACTGTTGTAATAACATGGGAAAATTCATACAAGTGAAATCATACGGTATGAGCCCTTTTGTGCCTGGCTTCTTTTGCTTCTCATGGTTTTGTGATTCATCTATGTTATTCATGTATTAGTTGTTTATTACTCTTTATTGCTGGGATAGTGTATTCCATTGGCTGTATATATCTGAGTGACTTTTTACATGACACTATTTTAATGTCTATTTTCCTTACAGCCTTTTTTTTTTCCTATACTATCAGGTGTTACATACCATTCTTAGTATTTTAACTAATCAGCTTTACTGAGATAAAAACTAACTGCCTCAGATTTAGGGGTTTTTGTTTGTTTCTATTTTCCTTTGCCTTTTTGATTTTTAAAAATGAAAATCTTTTTTTAAATTTTAAAAGTCATACATATTTATTGTAAAAATTTAAGAGAGCAATATAATTAATCTATATTCTCACCACCCAGAGATAAAAGCCTTTAACATTGTATATAACCTTTCAGACTACATTTTTATGAACATATGTGTGAATACAAGTGTGCATGAATATTAATGTGTATAATGGTCTGGTGCATTTCTATAACTTTTCATATGGATTCACATTAGCCTCTTAATTACATAGTATTCCATTGTAAATGATATGTGATAATTTATTTAATTAGTATCCCATTAATAGACATTTCACTTTTTTCTATTATTTCTTACAATCAATGCTGCTTTGAGCATCCTCTCATGTACATTTTGGTGTGCTATGTCTAGTTATCATTTTAGAATAAGTTCCTAGAACTGGAAGTGGGTGTATTAATCAGAGTTCTTCAGAGAAATGGAACTAATAGGATGTGTATGTATACAGAAAGAGATCTGTTTTAAGGAGTTGGTTCATGTAATTATGGAGGCTTGGCAAGTCTAACATAACTGATAGGAGAGGCTGGCAGATGTGAGATTCAGAAATGAGTTGCAGTTGAATTCCAAAGGCAGTTAGACAGGAGACCCAGGAGGAGTTGATGTTCATTTGAAGTAGAGAGGCAGTCTGCTGGAAGAATTTGCTTGTGTTTGGGAGAGGTCAGCCTTTTGTTTTATTGAGGCCTTCAACTGATTATATGCAGCTCACCCACAGTATGGAGACTAATCTGTTTTACCAAGTCTAACAATTGTAATGTAAGTCTCTTCCAAAAACACCCTCACAGAAACATCCAGAATAAATGTTGACCAAATATCTGAGCACTGTGGTCCAGCCAAATTAATACATAAAATTCATCATCACACTGCTTCCATGATAAGGCTTAATTTTTTTTTTTTTAAGAGGTTCTTGCTCTGTTGCACAGACTGGAGTGCAGTGGCCCAATCATAGCTGCTGTCACCTTGAATTCCTGGGCTCAAGCAATCTCCCTGCCTTAGTCTCCCAAGTAGATGGGATTACAGGTATAAGCCACTGCACCCAGCTCAGGCTTAATTTTGAAATCTATATCTTCTACCTGAATTTGCTTAAAAACAAATAATATCAGTGATCATTGGTATAGACTAAGGAATTAGATTTTGTCAACATAAGTATAAATATATTTGTGAATGAATAATTTTACAAAATGTTTCTCAAAACTGCAGATGTGGCCTTATCTGCTGACCCTGAGGGAAAAGATGGGGAAGGGCCACCTGGCACATCACAAGAATCCCCCGAGGAGTTCACAGATGCCAAACATGAGTTACTGTTCAGCCTGGAAACCAATTTTCTCGAAGAGGAAAGTGGAAACGACTCTTCTTTGAAAGCATCACAAGGTCATAGCACAGTGTGTGTTGTTTGAATTTACCAGGTGCTTAGACTGTGGACTAGTACACATTAACGCTGTTATTGGAATGAGCAACCATAAAAACAGTTTATTGGCTAGATGTAGAACTGGGAAAAAGAACTTCTCAAAGGTTTTTTGTGTCTTTCAATGGTTAGTCAGTGTTGGGGTGGGAGGGATGTTTAGGACAACAAACAACTTAAGAGTGATAGTAGGGAAGGAGTTCTCCAGGCTCCAGCCTCACACTTCCATAATTGGGATCAGAGGAGGACTTTCCTACCAAGCAAGGTAGGAAGAGAAAAAAAAAAAAAAAAAGTAGAACATCTCACTTTTCTTTCTACCCCTCACTTGCTCTTCCTTTTGGAACAGTAATTTTTCAGATTTGTAAGACCCAGGAGTGGCTAATGTGTGATACCAGGGAAAGCCTCAAAAACCAAAAGCCCCACCCTATCTCCCCTATCTGTCTCAGCCTCCTGACCATGTCTATGACCAAATGTTAGTCACTCAGACAAGGCCTGCCTGTGGGAGCCTTAGGCAGGCCACTGCTGTCTCAGGTACAGTTTCTCAATCTGTGCCTGGTTGGGCAAGTCAGGTTGGTCTCATTCTGTGTCCTGACCGCCTTCATTGATCTGAGTGCCATTCTTCATAGAAATAGGGTCTGGCTCTGTCACCCAGGCTGGAGTGCAGTGGCATAGTCATAGCTCACTGCAGCCTCAAACTTCTAGGCTCAAGTGATCCTCTTGCCTCAGACTTCTGAGTAGCTGAGACTACAGGAGCGTGCCTCTGCTCCTAGCTAATTTTTTTGTTTTTTGTAGAGACAGAGTCTCACAATATTGCTCAGGCTGGTCTCAAGCTCCTGGCCTCAAGCAATCCTCTTGCTTTAGTCTCCCAAAGTGCCGGGATTATAGGCATGAGCCACCATGCCTGGGCTGAAGCTGAAATTTTAATTGTCATTTAGCTCATTTAATTCTTTTGACCATTATTCAGGAGAGAGAAGTGGCAGATTTTAGTGCAAACCCCATTCTTAACTATCAAAACTTAGATATCCTGGAGGAGACATCAGGAAGCTTGACTATCCCAAAATTTCTCTAGTTGTTTTGCTATACATATGTATTAGCACCTAGAATTCTTATGTCCTATTGTTTGTGCTTATCTTAGGTATTTAATACAGGTGCATTTCATTTGAAGCCTTACCGTTTGGATCCTTGAATGGGTCATTTAACTTTGCTCCGTTTCTTAAGAGTGGGTCTGGGAATGAAGGTTGGGTTGGGTGGCTAGCTCAGAGCACTGAAGATGGGCACCATCGTGTGGATCATTTGTTCAGTAATTCAGTTGAATATTGAACATTTCTGTGTGTCTTGCAATACAATGCCAATCAGACATGGAACCTGCCTCAGAGATGTTGCAGTCTGCTAGGTGATATAAGACATGCACGGAATACATGTTGGGATGCGTGCGTGATGCTGGTAGGAGAGAAGAAAGTGATAACTGCACATAGGAGACCAGGCCTCTTCAGGGAGGCCTGACACAGTAAGTCCCCGGAAAGTATTATGAGGCAGGGTAACATTAAATTGATAATATTTGTATATGCAGAAACGAGCTGAAGGAGAGGCTGGACTTTTTAGTTGAAGGAAGGAAAGGCACAGAGGCAGAGGAATTTGAGGGCCATATATGTTCAGAACTTACACTGGGAAGGCAAGGTTGGAGGTGCATCCTAAAGGTTTCTGAGCTGGGAAGTAAATGTGATTAGAAAAGTACTTTAGGAAGGTGAACCTGTCAGAAGCTTTTAAACTGTGGACTGGGCTAGAGGATGGGGAAAGTAGGTGGAAGAAAGGATGAGTTAACACTGTGAAGATCAACATGTCATTCACAGGGGAACACCAGAAAACCCCCTCTATTTGTGCTAAGTGTGCTGACATTTTTAATTTCTGAATTAGATCCATTTCTACAACATGTGAACAAAGAACTGAAAGAAAAAGACATTCAGGCTTTTGCCACAAATCCCAAAACTACCCACCAGCTAAAAGTAAGTGCTGCTTGATCATCCCAGTCACTAATGGAGAAAGCTCTAAATAAAAGAGGTCTTGGGTTTTAGTGGTTTCCCAGAATGGATGATGTACACCAGTAGTAGGTGGCTTGATAAGGAAGCAGGGCATGGAAAGGCTGAAGAGCCTAGTAGGGCACAGGCATCCCTGGAAAAGGCACTGGGAAGCTAGAGCGTGAGCACGAGATAATGTAGTTTTGTAAGAGTGGCTTTGGAGGCAGTGTGCCAGGGTCTAGATCAGCATCTGCAAGGGGCTTGACCCGAGGCAAGTTAATCTACATCTTTGTTGTTCACTATTCTGATCTGTTAGAGGAGGACAGTAATGCCTACCTCAAAATAAAATAATTTCATTTACCAACTGATATGTAGTTAGCATTTAGTAAGACAGTGTTCATTGAAACAGTGAACAACAGTAGTAGTTACTACTATTGTTCATTTGTTTGAAATATTCGAGATAGGTTCACAACTAAATCATTCAGATATTGGGCAGTTTTTGCTGTTTTGTTGGTTTTCACCACTGGTATTGTTCATGAGTGTTGGTCACCTTCTTTTTAGTTGTTTTTTTTTTTTTTTTTTTTTTTTTGAGACAGAGTCTCGCTTTGTTGTCCAGGCTAGAGTGAGTGCCGTGGCGTCAGCCTAGCTCACAGCAACTGCCTCAGCCTCCCGAGTAGCTGGGACTACAGGCATGAGCCACCATGCCCGGCTAATTTTTTATATATATATCAGTTGGCCAATTAATTTCTTTCTATTTTATAGTAGAGACGGGGTCTCGCTCTTGCTCAGGCTGGTTTTGAACTCCTGACCTTGAGCAATCCGCCCGCCTCGGCCTCCCAAGAGCTAGGATTACAGGCGTGAGCCACAGCGCCCGGCCTAGTTGTAGTTTTTATGGAGGCAATAATTAGAGATACACATGTGGTTGTAAGAAATCATACAAAGGCATGCTGTACCCTTTCTCCAGTTTCCCCAATGGTAACATCTTGCAAAACTGCAGAACAATAGCACAGCCAGGAAATTGACATTGACACAATCTACCTATCTTACTGAGATTTCTCTGGTTTTACTCTTACTTAGCGTGTGTGTGTGTTCTTGTATGTGCCTCCACAGTGAAGATGCAGAACTTTGCCAGCACCATATGGATCCTTGTTGCCCTTTTATAACCACAGCCACCTCTCTCTGCACCCCACCCCCTTCCATTGCTAAGCCCTGGGAACCACTAATCTGGTCTCCATGTTGAATATTTTGTTATTTCAAAAATATTGAATAAATGGAATCATACAGCATGAAACCGTTGAGATTGGCTTTTTCCACTCTATGTAATTCCCTACAGGTTCATCTAAGTTATTTCAGCTGTCAGTAGTTCATCTGTTTTTATTGCTGAGGTCATCCCATTTTTAGATCAGCAGTTTCGCTGCAAAGCAAAAATTCCCAAATTTGTATCCCACAAAATAGAAAATAGTATTCCTGAGAATCTAAATGAAGTGGACAGATTTCTTGTCATGGGACTTGTCAGAACCTTTAGTATCTAATGTCATTGTGAATCTCCTTCAGGGGGATTAGGTTTTTTGATACTTACCAAAGTTATTTGATCATGGAGCACCTTTTTTCTTGAATGAATTTTGACTCTTCCCAGAGTGTATTCCAGAGAACAGCATGGGAAACACTGGTAGAGTGAATAGCTCATATTTGAAGTTAGAAAGCTTGGTCTCTAGTCCTCAGCTCTGTTCTCCTCTGTGTAAACTTTATTTGGATCATACAACCTGTATGTGAGCCTCAGTGTTTCCTAAACTATGAGTACTATGATACCTGCCTTGCAGGCTTGTTGTGAGGCTTGAATGAGATGATGTATAAATCATGAAAGTCCAGTAAATTGTAGAGTATTATGTGAATGTAAGGTGTTATTAATTTCTAACTTAGCTCTTGTTCTGTCTTTCCCCTAGTGGCCTGTTCTAGGCCAGCTTGTCTTTTCATCCAAGTTTCAGAAGTTGGAAACATTTAAACCCCCAAAGGATATTGACTTCGAGTCACTTCATCTCCAGAAGCCTCTGGGATCTACCTGGACCAAGACCAACAGCCAGTTCCTGTCTGGTCCCCAAAAATCAAGTAGCCCCTTCACCCCTCTCCAGAAAGAACTCTTCTTAATTATGAATTCTTACCAGGACCTGTTCTACCCAGAAAGGAATGCCCTAAAGAATGGGGAAGAGATCCGCCACGTGTACTGCCTGCATGTGATAAACCATGTCCTTAAAGCCAACGCCCAGGTGCTTGGCAACAATAGCAGACGCCGAAGCCAGAAATTTGGAGTGGGTAACGATGATGACTTCAGGGACCAAGGGCTAACCAGGCCCAAGGTGAGTGGTTGCAGGAAACCTTTGCCCTTGAGAAGGAGGCTGCATAGCACTGCATATATTAATATGTAAGTGCCTGGCACTTAGCAGGTACTTGGGTGTTTTAATAATTGACTGGAATAATGAATGAGCCCAAACATGAACACATTAAGTGGGCCAGGTAGTGTCAGAACAGCACTGCAGACAGCTCAGTGGATCTAGCTGGAAACTTGTGGAAAGGAGATACTTCATGACACTCTCCTTAAACTGAGAACATAGATAAATAACACTCTATTATAAATCCCTTATTTGTGATTGTCAGAGCTGGATGAGACCTTAATGAGCCTTTATCCAACACCCGCACGTTGTGGCTGTGGATAGAGACCCAGATTCATAGAGTGCCTTGCTAAAGAGAACCAGGAAACGAGTAGCAGAGATGGGACTAGAACCAAGGACTGTCTTTGCTAAGCCACAAAAATGTCAACCTTTGAAAACCAAAATCCCTATTTGCCACTGTAAGTTATTGCTGCTTAAAGTGGTGATTACAGTTGTTTGTGGTCATAAGTCTGCGCTCCAGTGGATTTGAGAAAATGTCTTTTAATTCTGTGTGCACTTTTCATGACATTATGGAGCTAATTCTTGCCCCCTACCCCTTAGCCTACGTCTCTTCATATTGAAGAAAACTCATCCTTTTAGAATTTTCTCACTGAGTTTAATAGGATTCTGGGATTTTAATACTGATGTGGTTCTTAGAGATTTCTTAGTCAAACTTCTATGTTTGATAGCTTGGGAAACCAAAGCCCAGACAATAACTTGGTGTCACAGATGGGACAGTAACTCAGCCCTCTTAAATCTTGGTCCATTGTCCTTGTACTGTAGGAAGCTGAATCACTACACTCTTTGGACTGTGTTGGTTCCCTAGTTCTGAGAAGCTACTGCAGAGCCTTGAAGATAAGGATTATAAGGTTATTTGTGTCCATTTAGAATTGCATAGACGAATGAGAGGCAGATTACCCGTGAAGCATATTTTTAATTTGGTGAATTGCATGATTTGATTGGGGTTATATCCATCAATTATGTAGTTTACATAATGACAGTTAGAAATTAACCATTTATTAAGCATCTTCTGATTTTGTGCTCAGCAGTAACTTTAAGCATTTTTGAAAATGCTTGGAAAATTGAGTCCTGTTTTTCCCATTAAATTATGGTCTTATTTCAGAATGCTTTATCATCATTTCTGAAAAATATATTAGGAAATGCATTAAAAATATAATATATTAATCCTTTTTCTTACCTGCTTTATTTCCTCTCTACTTATTCCATTTGTTTATTTAGCATATATTTATTCAGTAGGTCTTATGGTTAAAACTACTGTACTAAGTGTTGTGCTTGGCTTATCGTAAAAGGTATTCTCAGATTCTGCTTGAGAACTGTCTCCCATAGAGCCATTGGGACAAAAGTCCACAGCATATGGTGCTATGGGTATGAAAGGGGCTCAGCTTCTAGTGCTGAGCCAGGCCCTGTGCAAATGGGTGACATAGAAATGGTTCCTGGCCAGGGGCCACTGCAATACACAGGCTTTTTAGCTCCACTTGCAGCAGGTTCAGCTCAAGCTCCTGTTCCTCCCCTTTCCCCTACCAAGCCTGCCATTGCTCTCTCCACAGGTACTGATAGTGGTGCCATTTCGGGAAGCTGCTTTGCGGGTGGTGCAACTCTTCATCAGCCTCCTTGAGGGCGACAGCAAGAAGAAAATCATTGTGAGCAACAAAAAGAGGTTTCAAGGAGAGTATGGCTCTGATCCCGAGGAGAGACCACCCAACTTGAAGAGGCCTGAGGATTATGAAGCTGTGTTTGCAGGCAACATTGATGACCACTTCAGGATTGGTAATTTTCCTTATCAGAATTGAGATACTGTGGGACCTAAGGTGTGAAGGTCTATGTAGCAGGAAGCTGGAGGTCTGGAGTTAGACATTGTCTCAATAAGTCATTCACTCAGCCTTCTGACAGAAGCAGTGTGCATTTGAGACATCTTGTTTGTCAGGGGAGAGAGTTTTGCCTTGGCTAATGGGATGGAGAGAGTCTCTGAAGCCATGTAGAAAAGACATATGCACATTTATAACAGAAATGTCTCAACACACCCATAGCTGGTAGCACACAGTCAGATGCTACAAGGGGTTCTCGGGGAAGGTGGAAGTGATAGGGGCTGGGTGGGGTCATTCTGGGGAGGCTAAATAAACTGAATGTGCATAAGGGTGGACTTCCTCCTGTCTGCTGTGTAGAGTACCTCCCCCTGAATTATCTCCACATGTGACTTATCCACTCCCACCTAACCTTTCACGTTTTTCTTGTCTCTGATTCAGCTCTCATTTAATTGGTTGTACCTTAATAGAATAAAGTTCCTGGGAGAATGTTCCTTAGTCACATATGCTTGTTCACAAACATTTATTGAGCATCTACAGTATGCCAGACACTGTTAAGAAGCTGGGGATATCTGTAATCCCAGCTACTCGGGAGGCTGAGGTGGAAGGATCGCTTGAGCCCAGGAATTTGAGGCCAGCCTAAGCAACCTAGTTAGACACCCTCTCTGAAAAATAAAAAAATAAATACAAGAAGAAGTGAGGATGTAGAAATAAAAGTTACAGTTCCCATTGCTAAGAAAGTCCAGTGTAAGGGGAGAAACAGTGCAGGATAATAAGTATGCAGTGAGTGTTCTGGAGCATTTAAAGCAAACACCAAAGTGGGGGCAGGGTGGTTAGGGAAGGCATCCTGGCAGAAGTACTGTCTCTACTAGGATGCAACCTGTGCAGGATTTAGCCAGTTACAAAACAGAGTGGTTGGAGAAACATTTCAGATAAGAAACTGCCTATGTGAAGACATCAGAGTAACTAAGCTGGAACCACCTAAGATTTATGCAGGCTTTTTTTTTTTTTTTTTTTTTTGAGACAGAGTCTCGCTTTGTTACCCAGGCTAGAGTGAGTGCCGTGGCGTCAGCCTAGCTCACAGCAACCTCAAAGTCCTGGGCTTGAGTGATCCTTCTGCCTCAGCCTCCCGAGTAGCTGGGACTACAGGCATGCGCCACCATGCCCGGCTAATTTTTATATATATATATATCAGTTGGCCAATTAATTTCTTTCTATTTATAGTAGAGACGGAGTCTCACTCTTGCTCAGGCTGGTTTTGAACTCCTGACCTTGAGCAATCCGCCCGCCTCGGCCTCCCAAGAGCTAGGATTACAGGCGTGAGCCACAGCGCCCGGCCTTATGCAGGCTTTGACACGACTGGAGTATAAGGTGCAAGGCAATGAGAGCTGATGTTCTGTTTGCAACACATATAGATGTCCAGCAAGCATTTGTGCATTCCTGACAAGAAGCCCTAAGAAGTGTTCATTGAATTGGTAACTGTTGCTGGGGACCTTAGCAAGAGGCATTTCATTGGAGTCCTGAGATTCAGAGGCCAAATTACAGTGGGTTGAGAGGTAAATGGGAGATTTGAAAGCAGAGCCCACTCTCTGGAGGAGATTGATAGTGAAGGAAAGGAAGAGAAAGTAGGAGCTAGGAGGGACTATAGATGCAAGGGAGGTTTTATTGTTGTTTTTTTAATAATTAAAGCTTATTTGAGCACAGTTATATGCTAAAAGGAACATACATGTGGAATGCTTTGAGAGGGGCTTAGTATTGCCCCCTGAGCTGATGTGTGCTTGGCTGTTTTGTGTAGGAGTGGCAATACTTCAGAGGAGCATCCGACTCTACGCCCCCTTTTACTCCTCGGATATCCTCATTGCTTCCCCTCTGGGCTTGAGGACCATCATTGGTGGAGAAGGAGAGAAGAAGAGGGATTTTGACTTTTTGTCTTCTATTGAGCTTCTCGTCATTGATCAAGCTGACATTTACCTGATGCAGAACTGGGAGCATGTCCTGGTAATGCTGGTCATTCACATTTAGAGGGACAACATTTATATTAGAGAGACAGGTAGCTCAAAGGTTCAAGTCCTAAAGGGTTATTAAGTCTAGATTAAAACTCAGTTTGGAAACGGGAAGTACTCCACATTTGAAAAAGTCTTTGTCCCTTTTTCTACCCACAGATTGGTCAATCAGAGATAAAAATTCTTGTCAGTATTTTCAAATCTCCAGAAAAGATTTTCTCCCCTTAAAGGTTGCTTTCTACAAACAGTCCACTGTATGGTGGGTGGGTAGATGGATGGATGCTTGGTTAGTTGAAAATCTTCCTTACCAGGAACATCTTTACCTAACATAGTTCCTCGTACAGGATGTGCTCATTCTCTTTTGTCTTGTCTTCAGTAGAGATAGGAAAACATTGCTTAAGATTTTTTTAATGTGGGATCTTGTTTTGCAGAGAAATATAGAGTGTCTTTATCTCCCTACCATAATTTGTGCTGTAATCTTTTTCTCCTCTTCTCCATATACATTGCAGTATTAATCAGTTTTAAAATTGAAAAACTCCCTATAACCCCATGACATGAAGCTTGTAGGAAGTTTGGGACAAATAAAGGGTAGTACTTACTTATAAAGTAAGAAGTAAATTTATAGTACTCCTTACCTTCAAGATATATTACAAAGTGAAAATATAATTAAAATGGAAAAGACAGGTTAATAGTTGAGTCATATTCTTTAATTTGAGGAAAAGGGAGGTGGGGTGGCTGTGGGAATACTCCTAATGTTTTGAGAACCAGGCCATTGAGGGACAGCAGCTCTCTTTTCAATGTCATTTCCTTTCTTATCCAAGTCTGGGACTGGGGGACCCATAGTGACTAGGGTGACATTTCAGTAGTTCTCTTTTAAAGGAATATTCCTATAGGTACCATTTTGATCCTTTTTTAAAGGTCCAGAAGGTGGCCAGTTTTAGCTTATCTTCTTCGGTGTGTGTTTGGCTAACCATGAGCAAGTCAGCTCACCTGAGTCTTGGTTTTTTTGTAACTTGGGAGATGATAATATGTTCTCTATGGAGTTAATTGAGATGATTGAGTTGTAAAATGCTTAGAGGTACCCAACATGTAAATGCTCAGTAAACATTAATGGTAGTGTTATTTCTGCTCAAAGCATTTGATGAACCACATGAACCTCCTACCCCTGGACTCACATGGGGTAGACTTTTCTCGAGTGCGGATGTGGAGCCTCAATAATTGGTCCAAGTACTATCGGCAGACATTGCTGTTTGGGGCCCTGCAGGATGCCCAGGTCAACTCAGTGTTCAACAAGTACTGCACCAATCTGCAAGGCCAGGTGGGTTCTCTCCGTGTTTCCTCTGTATCTTCATGAACGCTGTTTATTGTTTGGGTGGTGAGGCAGAAGGAGAAGATAGCATTTCGTCAGCAGGGAGCTGGCTTGCCTCCTAATGCTCTCATTGACTACTCGCAGGTGGCCGTGAAGAATGTTCCAATGACAGGCTCCATCAATCATGTCCTGGTGCAGCTCCCACATGTCTTCCAGAGAATGGAAGTCGACAGCCTAGCTTCAGTGATCGATGCCAGGTAAACCACCCCTCCTATCAGGCCCTGGGGGCCACAGAGAGAAATTGGACTTTGGCATACAAATTTAGAATTACGTTACATTTTGCCTCTATCAGCTACTGTTTGCCAAATTAGATGAGATAATTGAATTCAGTCATGCCATTTAACCTGGAAGGAAGCTGACACCTAGAAATGGTGACTTGGCCTAGGTCTCATAGCTAGTTAGTGGCAGGGTTAGTACTATAAATCAGGACTCCTTCCCTCTCAACTGTGGCATTTTTAAAATGATATTACACTGCTTCATGCTACAAAGTGTCCCATGTCAGCAACTTACTGTAAGCTCCCCAGGGCAAGGCCTATTTGTCTTATTCTGTAGATATTTTTCCCCTTTGCCTCATTATGTTTAGTTGGGGTAACGTACGGGTACTTAGTGTATGGTAGATGTTCAGTGATTATTTGTTGACTAAATGAATAAATGGTGTGGTGTATACATCCTAGAATAATTCTCTAGGATATAATAGCATTACATGTTTGTTTTTGGGTTTTGTTTGTTTTTGGAGACAGAGCCTTGCCCTATCACCTGGACTCCCAGGCTAAAGTACAGTGGTGTCATCATAGCTCACAGCAACCTCAAACTTCTGGGCTCAAGTGATCTTCCTGCCTCTCAGCTTCCCAAGTAGCTGGGACTCCAGGCCAATGACCACCACGCCTGGCCAATATTTTTAATTTTTTGTAGAGATGAGGTCCCAGTGTGTTGTTCAGGCTGATCTCAAACTCCTGGCCTCAAATGATCCTCCTGCCTCAGCCTCCCAAAGTGCTAGGATTACAGACACAAGCCACTATGCCCAGACTACGTGTATTTTTACAGTGAATAGTGTTAACATTTGTTTTTTGGTGTGCTTATCAAGTTTGATCCTTACATAATCTCTTTGAGAGGAGGTAAGTCATATTGGCGTCTGTAGAGGTAATCTTTTAACATGAGATTGTGACTTGCCCTGGGTCGCTCAGTTAATAGACACCCAAGCTCAATTCTAGAACACTGATTTTGCGCTTTGCTGTTCCAAATCAGGTTTAACTTTTTTGTGAATAAGATTCTGCCTCAGTACCGCGATGCAGTCATGTCTCACACGCTCATCTACATCCCCTCCTACTTTGATTTCGTGCGTCTCCGAAATTTCTTTAAGAAGGAGGAACTGAACTTCACCCACATCTGCGAGTATACCCAGAAGTCTGGCGTCTCCAGGGCCAGACACTTTTTCCTTCAAGGAGAGAAGCAGTTTCTGCTCCTCACAGAGCGGTTCCATTTCTACAAAAGGTAAAGTAGTGCCAGGTTTCACCTCCTCTCTGAAGGGGAAATGCAGTACAAATCATGGCCTGCTTCTGAGCGCTTGGGAGGCTTTGTGGGGTTATAAGGTCATCCCTCACTCCCCCACTCTTATAGAGAAGCCAAAGAGTTTTGGGGCCGAAGAGACCCTTCTTGGTTGGTTGGTTGGTTGGTTGGTTGGTTGGTTGGTTGGTTGGTTGGTTTCCTCCCAAGATGGGTATTGGAAAAGGTAGTGAAAATGAAAACATAACCTACACATATACCTGGAGTGTAGCTGTGGTTGTGAACTTCAAGAAAGACATTACAGAGCTGAGGAACTCTACACAGGGACAACTCGAGTGCATACAGGAAGCAGAGGGACCTGTCTTTGAAGCCCAGACAGAAGCATCGAGGGCTGTGCAGTCTGGGGAGATGGAGGCTGAGCATGTCATCAGTACTCAGTCAGTTAACATTGTTCCTGAGGAGAGGTATGCACGGTTACTTCCTCATAAGGAGAGCCAGGACTGTGGGCCCCTTGAGGTTTGCAGGAGGCAAAGGAGTAAGGGGCTTAGAGTTGAATATTTAATATTTCAGTGTTTACTTAGATACCCCACTAGGGGACTTTGACAAAGTAAGTTGATTGGCCTTTTTGTTATTATTTTTTTTTAATTCTAATAAGAGGGTTAGTAACATTGAGCCTTCTGTTACCATTTGGGATAGTGGCAGCACTTTGTGGCCCCAGAGCTCATGCATTGTACTATTTTGCTGACAAATGAAAATGCCTTTTTAAAGCCCTTACCTATAGAGAGATGGAAATTGCATCCTATTACATCTTCCTTATTGATTTCACAATAATGTCCAGTGAATTTAAGTTCTGACTGTACTGTTTTCTGAACTTGCAGTCATGTACACTGAGGAAGGGTACATTTTCTCAGAGAATCCCAAACAGATAAGCCAGAAGCCTTCCAGGCTTTGGAGAACAGTAGATGATTCACCTTGGCATTGTGTTGCCTTTTAGTTTATGCAAACTTTAGGGTGGTGCTCCCCAGATATGTTCTTCTTGCCAGGATGGGGGTGGAGGAATCTCAGCAGTCTGCTTGGGCACAGCAGAGCTGTCATGACGTGACCTTTTTAGGTATTCTGCTGATTAATTCGTCTGTGAGTAGAGAGTTGAGAATTGACTATATTTGTGTTTCCCCGGCTCCATTCTTGGCTACCTAGACAAGGCTGTTTGGCCAAAGAGTGTTAATGAATGCCTGCTGTTGGCATCATTATTTGCCCTGTTCTAGTAAGTTGTGTTGTCATTCATGTTGGAAAGTATTTGGGGGAGTTGCACACATCAAGGTCTTAAAAGCCCTTTGCTTTCTATCATCTCGACAAGTGAAAGTAAGCCCTTCAAGTGAAATGGATGGATTTAAAAACACCCCAGTGTGATTGTTTGTATAGCAAGTGTGAATTAAGCTGGGATGAAGACTGATCTCAAATATCCCTAGCTTTTCAAGGATAGGGCCTGGCGCTCCTTCGTAAGCAGGACAGTCCCCTGTCTTACACTGTTCATTTATTTACCAAGCCTTGTTGCCCTCCAAGTCATTATAAAGACAAATCTTAGCATATGCCATTTGCTTTATGCTCTGGACCAGGTTAATTGGTGTTTCCTGCTTCAGAATTCTGCAACATCCAATTATCTCAAGGTTTCCAGCCACAGAATTTTTTGCTTGAGCGATCACCAAGGTGATGATGGGTCTTTTGGTCTGCATTGCCTTTGTGATTTGATTTTTTATTTGACCTTGGAAAAAGTTCACATATTTTAAACTGTAGTTTCCGACTCTGAAATTCCATTTTTATATTCTCTATGACAGTTGGCAGTGTTAGGAAGATTAGAATTCATTTTTGAGCTAGCAAACATTTTTCAGCCTGAAGATTTGTTTTCTTTGGGGAAGATGAAACTAGTAGACTCTTAGAATTGGTTGTACGTTTGGTCATGATTGCCCTCCCAGGGATGGGTCGCAGCTCTTTTCCTGTGCATTATCAGTAGGTTACCACAGCAGAGAGGATCTCAGCCAAGGGGCGAGTCAGAAACTCTGGAGGTGGGATTTATGGAGTTTGGAAAGGCTGCTGGGGTGTTCCTGGGTACGCCCTGCCCCTATAAGAGAATCTCAGTTTTTAGTCTTTATAGACCACAGGGAGGAGCCAGCCTTTCAAGTCAGTTGGAGTTGCCTCATTTATCTTTAACATTTGTCAGGTAAAATCAACATCTGGAATGTCCTTAGTTTTAGGTCTTGTCAGGGTGGTTAAGCCATATTTGTAGGGTCGCTAAAGACCCAAAACATATACAAGAGAGGAGGAAGGCAGGGGAAGGGGTGAGAATGGACACTAACTGCCCCTATGAGGAGGCCCTGGTCATGTTCCTACTTCCGGGAGATACTTAGTCTCTAGGGTGGGTGAATTGGGATTGAGATCAATGTTCTTGTGGGTTTTTTTTGTTTTGTTTTGTTTTTTAATATAACATTTACATTGGTTTTGTTGTTTTGTTTTTCCTGATTACAAAGGTATTACACAATTACTTTAGAGAACTTGGAAAATCTACGTTATAAAAAGGAATAGGGAATGACCTATAATCTCACTGCCCTGATACAGATATCCTTTTTGGTGTATTTTTTTTCTGTATTATATGAAAAATATGTGCATGCATGTGAGTGCACACACAGACATATATACAGCTGTTTTTTTAATAATACCAAAATTGGGATCACAACGTACACATTGGGGTTTTTTTTCCCCTTATGTTAAATGTTTTATGTGCTCATTGAAAAAAAATTCAAACATGTTAATATTTTGGCATATATATTTGCATATCAGGGATATATTTTTAAGTTAACATGTATAGCTCTATTACGTCCTGCCTCCCCCCAGCTTTTTGTTTGGGAAGATTTCATTTCAAAAGAAAATTTTAATACTGTAACAGTAAACATCTGTGAACCCTTTCCAAATTCACCTGCTGTTAGCCTTTTACCACATTTGCATATATCCATGTTCTCTCTCTCCACTCACATCTCTTATTTTTTTCTTTCCTGAACCATTTTAAAGTAAGTTGCAGGAGCCTTCACGACACGGCACTTCTAACTATTTCAGCATGTAGCTCCTGAAAACAAACATTCTTTTATCTAACCACAATGTCATTATCATACCACTTGATGTTACTACAATAATATTATCTAATATACAGTCTATATTTAAATTTCCCTAGTTGCCCCTAAAATGATCATTATAGCTCTTTACCCCAATTTAGGGTTAAGGATCATAAATTTCATTTGGTTAACTTACTTCTTTGTTTCTTTAATCTAGCATAGTCCTCAACTGGGGAACAGTTTTGCTCCCCAAGGAACATTTGGCAATATCGTCAGACATTTTAGGCTGTCACAGCTGAAGAGTTATTCTAGTGGTTCTTTCTGGTGGGTCAAGGCCAGAGTGCTGCTAAACATCCTAGTGCACAGGACAGCCACAAGAAAGGATTGTCTGGCTCAAAATGTCGATAGCATTGAGATTGAGAAACCCTGATCTAGAATAATACTCTGGCTTTTTTTTTTCCCCCATAACATTGACATGTTTTGAAGAGTCCAATCTAGTTTCCTGTAGAATGTCCCACAACCTGGATTTATCTGGGGTTTTTTAATCATTAATATTTGGGTCAGTGGTTCCCAAACTTTGCTATCCATTAGAATCCCCTTGGGAAGCTTTGGAAAGCTTCCTCTTAGCTGAGATCTCCTCTCAGCTGTCACTGAGCCCTGCACTCCTGTGCCAGAGGAGGGTCTCTCTCCCAGCACCAGGCCGCTCTTGCTTGTTACTCTTTGCAAGGCATGAGCTGGGAGGGAGGGTTCTCCTGGTCCAGCTCAGTTTTAGGCAGGCCCTATTCCTTCCAGGCTTTGGAGGTGGGACCTTTCTTCAGGGTTCCTGCCCCACCACCTCCCATGGCAGCAAAAACTCTGCCTTGGATCTGTGAGGGGATTTGGTGGAAAGGAGGATCCTGCTTCTCCTGTAGTGGTGGCAGAACTCTGTATCAGTGCAGGGTCTTGGGCTGAACAGGTTTCTTGCCCCTTTCCAGGGGCAGAATGCTATGGCTTCTTGCTACTAGGTGCAAGTCATGTGGTCGGGAGACATGGGAGGGTGGGGTGTTTGCTTCCCCTCCCTTAAGGACAGACAACTTTTGCTTCTGCTTATCCTCCCCCTACCAGTAGCTTCTGTTTCAGGCTTTTGCCTTGGTTTTCACGATATGGATCTGCGAAGTAGGGGGGCTTTCATGTCCACACCACCAGTGGGGTCTCTCTTGGGTTTTCTGCCTCGCCTCCAGTCTCTCTCCTGGCTCCCGGTGGATGTGAACTCAAGGAGCGACCAGGGATCCCAGTCAAGCCCGTACTTGCCCTTTAAGAATTTGTTAGAAGTTCAGCTATTTCTTCCTACCCACTGTTTTGGCAGCCACCCTGTTTCTCCTGTGGTCTGCCAAGGGTATGGTGGTTTGTGGTCCTATTTTTCCTTAAAAGGGCTTGGTCGTTCTTTGGAATTGAGTCAGTGGTGGGCTGAAGCTGGCTTATGATATCTGGTTGCGTGTCTTTTCTCAGCGCTACGTTCAGCAACACGACATTGCTAGCTTGAAATTGGCTGTGCTGGGAGTATTTACACCACAGAAAGTAGTGAATTCTTCAAATCAGCACCTTGCTTTTCCCACTGAGAGCCAGCTATTAAACATACACCAACCCAGCACTGAACTCAGTTCTTCTGATTGCCTCTTGACAGCAGTTTTCTGGGCATAAGAAAAGGAATGTTTTTGTAGATTATCTAGTTAATATGGGAGAAACATTCTCTTGAGTGTTATATTTACTAAGCAGAAGTGGAACTCAATGTTTGTTTTTGTTTTGATAACTAGTGAAGTAGAACTGCTTATTCAAGTTTATTAGCCATTAGAATTCCTTCTTTATAAAAAGATGAGTTGAAAGGCAAACCACATAATGGGTCACAGTTATAGTTTGGAAGAGCAGAGTTTCCAGAGAGATCAGGATGTGCTGTGAGATAAAAAGACAAGAAAAGCTTAATCCCCCTCTGTGAATAAAATAAAATTCCCAAGGGAGGCTACCATTTTCCATGTATGAGTGAGTCTAACAGGAAAAATCAGAATGTTGTCAATGGATAAAACCTTTTGTTGTGGAGTACCAGAGGGAACATTTGACATCAACCCAGACCATACGGTGAGTCCCTTGAGTCTAAACCCCACCACCACTGTGCAGCAGGGAAGGGGGTGGAAATGCGTAAGCTATTGAAACTAACTGCTTTCCCATGATGCCTAATGGGTCCACAGGCAGGGTTTTGTACATGGATGAACTTGCGACATCTGCCATGGAGTTAACATGTCTAAGGGGAATGCATTTACAATTGTGCGGTGTATTGTATGTAACTGGGCCTGCCCTGATCTCCTATATGCAACATTCTTTTTGTCCTTGTAATAAGGATAATGTTAAATTATAAATGCCTGCCTTTGAAGTTTTCTGTGACAGGTCTTTCATCCTGGTCTACTATTCTTTCCCACCATACCTCAGCCTGCATAGAGCAGGCTCAAGAAGTGCAAATTTATTTTGTTATTGTCTTAAGCCAAACATTAGAAATTCAAATACATTGCCACAAAAATAAGTCCTTCCAACTCAAATTAAAATAACATTTATTCTGTTATTTGTGCCGTTATTTGCCTCCTTTAGCATGAAGCAACAAGAGTGAACTATGCCTCTGTACAGCTCTTAGGTAGCTTTTCCATAAATCGTTTCTCAGGTAGACATAGTCTCTTTCTTTCCCATCCTAACAGATATACAATAAAAGGCATCAGGAACCTGATTTTCTATGAACTGCCAACATATCCGCACTTCTACAGTGAAATCTGTAATATGCTGAGAGCTACCGACAGAGGAGAAGAAGCCACGTGGACCTGCACCGCCCTCTACTCCAAGTACGATGCCCAGAGGTTAGCTGCCGTGGTTGGCGTGGAGCGAGCAGCACAGATGCTACAGTCTAAGAAGAATGTTCACCTCTTTATTACTGGAGAAAACTGAGATTCTGTTAGACAGGAAATAGCGTTTGGCATGATACATAGTGCTTGGTTCTCTGCCACTTGGCCCCAATTCTGATTATTTATACAGGAGAGGGATTGATACCAGTATTGGAGTGATACAAGAGCACTAGCCAATGTCAGTATATTATCTGATACTTCTTTCTTTTCAGGTCATTTGTCCCTGAAAAGTTACATGTAAACCACATTTTGGTGAGTCATATCTTTCAGAGGTGAAGAGGGGGTTAGAAGGACTCTGAGAAGATGATAGAAGGCAACTTCCACTTGTAAACCTTTTTGTAAGCTATAAATTCTTTTATTATGATTTTATCTCTGACTTATTTCGCTTGGTAAATTCTTTGAGATTTGCCTATTTGTTTCACACTTTCTTAAAGTAAGACATACACATCATTGCTTGTGAAAACTGGTTATGAGAAATTGGAATGCTTTTTGCTGCTGCATGTCATCTTAATTTTGGATGGCATAGGTTTTATAAAACTGTTACTTTCTGCCAGCCAAACTTTTTTAAACCTTATTCTACTTCAGTTCAATCCAGAAGAGTACATTCATTCACTGATCTTTTTTTTTTTTTTTTAACTCATAATAGTAAATGTTTCAAATCCCAGCTGCTCCTTCCACGACTCTCTGAGTGGAGTTGGGCACCAGTTGACCCCTCCCTAGCTTGGGAAGGGTCTTTGCTTTGCTTGGGAAGGTACTTGCTTTTATGAGTGAGCAGAGCCAGGACTGACTTTGCATACAGGAAGTGGGCTGACAAAGCTGTCTTCCTCCTTCAGCAGGGGCAGAAATTGACCTGCTCCCCTCCAGAGGGTCAAAACTGTCCCTCAGGGCAGAGGAGGCCAGGGCAGGGTTGGGTTGTCCTTTGGAATTAGAGCCTGGGTTGATTCCATAAATATTGGTTTTGGGAGGGGCTGAATACAGTGAAAGGATGGCCTTGATTCTCATAAGGTAACAATCACGTTTTAAAAGAACAATTTATGGCTGGCCAGGTAAGGCTTAACTTGAATTATTAACTCTAATTGAGAAACTATCCTTATAACCATTCAACACATGGGGAAACTGAGGCTCCGAGTGGCAGGTGGTTGCCCACCTTATTATCATCAGGGCTGGGAGGGGAAACTGGGAGGTTCCAGGATATCTAGCTGCTGCTAAGAGAAGGAAAAACGGTATCCTACTGTCCACAGACTGCGCCAGGATCATGATTTCCTTCCTGACCCTGCCCTTACCTACATTTCCCTGCTGTTCCACCTCATTCAGCTTAAAGTAAGGAAAGGGATTAGGCCTGCTCCAAAGATTATTTTATTTATTTCATTTTATTTAAAATTTTATGTCCTCGTGGTTTTTTCATTTCCTTGTAAAAATTATCAAACAGTACTGGAAAATAATGCAAAATGTGGTAGAGGCTTCTATAGGGGAAAAAAATAGTTTTCATTTAGTTAAAACATATGTTTCAGATTACATTATATAAGATAAACAGTGACTTCTACTCTATTTCCAGAAATTTGTTGAAGCTGTGTTGAAACATCAGTCTTCAACATCAGTGTCTTTGTAGTTACTGTAGTCATTTTTTGAGTTAGATAAAAAAAGAAATGGTGCTTTTTAAAACATTTTTATTTTGAAACATTCTCAAACAGATAGAAAAATTACAAATACAGAACCTAAACCATTTGAGAGTAGGTTGCTGACCCAATAGGCCGATCACCCCAAATACGTTAGTGTGTATTTCCTATAAACAAGGATATTGCTCTATATAACCACAGAATAGCTTATCAAAATAAGGAAATTGCCATTAATACCTTACTGCTATCTAATCCTTGGACCCAATTCAGGTTTTGCCAAATGTCCCAATAATGTTCTTTATAGCAAAAGAATGCAGTTCACAGTTACATATTGCCTTTAGGTGCCATGTGTGTTTTAGTGTCCTTTATTCTAGAATAGGTACCTCAGCTTTTTGTGGCTTTCTTGACTTTGACACTTTTAAATTTTATTGGCCAGTTATTTTGTAGGATGATGTTTCCTTACGATTAGATTCAGGTTATGCATCTTTGGCAGGGACATCCCAGAAGTGATACATGAGTCCTCCCTCCATGTCCTCCATGTGTCAGGTGGCACAAGACATCCATTTGTCCGTCGCTGATGACGCTAACTTTGACCGCTTGTTTAAGGTGATGTTTGCAAGACTTTTCTACTATAGAGCGACTGTTTTACGCTTCATGTATTAATTTATACAGATTGAACCTCTCTAATCCAAAAATTTGAAATACAAGGTGCTCTAAAATTCAAAACTATTTGAGCAGCAACCTGAGCTCAAAGGAAATGCTCATTGGACCGTTTTGGATTGCATTGCAAAATAATGCAGATATTTCAAAATTAAAAAAAAAAAATCCAAAATCGGAAACACTTCTGGTCCCAAACATTTCAGCTAAGAGATATTCAACCTGTATGAGTATGGACTTGTATTTTCCTGTGTTCAGCGAGTGCCATTCCATTACTGTCATTATTTCTTCAGGGGTGTAGCTGGTCTCTGAGACGCCCAGTGGGAGCACCGTCAAGCTGGCTTCTGTGTCCTTTTGACAGGTTCCCTTTCTACTTGGGCATTGCTGTATTTTTTGACAATAGAATTTTCAGGCTTCTCTACTCCAACCCTGCTTTCTTTTAGTGGAAAATTATTTTAAAAGCTAAGATTTGAGTGCTAGATGTGCCCACATCTATAGATGTGCCCTGTGGGTATTGGCATATTTATGCTGCTGTCTACCATAGATCCTATGTATTATAAAAAAAGAAATGAGTTCATGTGCTTAGTTCAGAAATATGAGGCAAAGGGACTATGATCACCCCCATCTTCTTCTATTTGCTTATTCTTTTGCCTGTGAATTATAGCTCATCTCATGGCTTTTATTATCACTATTCACAAGACTCCCTGATCTCCAACTTCTCTGGCTGTCCACTCATATGTGAACCTGATTTCAAGTAGCCCTGGAAATGTGCATTTTATTAGGCATCCCTAATTATTTTCATGCTGGCTGGGAGCCAAACCTAGCCAACTGCTTCTTGCCTGCAGAGAACACTGAGGATTTCAAATGTGAACAAGGCAGCGTTGCCCTGTTCCTGGCTCGTCATCTGGAAAGAAGGTAAGCCTCAGCAGTTGGCCCTGGCTTTTGAGTGCAGTGCAAAGACTTGAAAAAGGATGCCTTAACATCCAGTTTCTCATATACACACAAGGGAGAGAGGAGAGACTACTGGAATATGGATAATAATGCATAGATTGGAATTACACGCTGTCTTGATATTTTTTAGTAAGTCTTATTTGCAGCAAGCAAGTGCCTATGTAGTAACTGTAGAAAGTAGACAAAGGAATGGTCCCAATACTGGAAAGAGTGGAATTATAAGGTGAGGACAGGAACTTTTCCAGAAAGTAAGACTTTTCAACTTTTTCCTTTTCCCGTAGTAATAATAACTAGCTTAGCGCTTTTCTTTTTGAAGAGGAAAACGCTTCTCACAGCTGGCTGCACCATGTGCAATATTCAAAAAACAAGAACAAGCTAATCATAGAGAACCAGCAGCAGCTAAACAGCCCTCTGCTGGCTTCCAAAGGGCTTATAATTGAGTGCAGATGGCCTCGGCAGGGTGGGGAGCGTGTCCCTGCTGACTCCTCACACCCCAGAGGATCGAGGGGGGCTCATGAAGGCTCTCAGCCTTGATTGTGCCCTCACGGGGGCAAGGAGCCAGGCCACCGAGGGAGGGGAGTGAGAAGCAGGTGGTGCGAGAGCCCGCTGGCCGCCTTCTGCCCGGCCTTCCCAAGGCCACGCGGATCTTCAGGCTGCCAGAGTTCAGATTTGATGAGTCCAGGGTCTCAAGATTGCAGAAGGCCTGGGGCAAGAGAGCAGGAGTTGGAAGTTCTTTATAATCATCTGAAGAGCCTCATTGTGCAACCTGCAGGTGGCTGTGAGGTGCCAGAAGCTTTGTGGAAGAGGAATGTCATGGAAATATCTCCACTGCTGCTGTCAGGGCCTTCACAGCTGGCCGCCCTCCCCCCTCCTCTCCTCCCCTTCCAGTCCCTTCCCCAGTTTCTCTCTCTTAAAGGAGTATGGTAGTGATATTCATCACCGAATTTCTACTCCAGATTTCTCATTTTGAAAAGCTTTTCTGGAAGCTTGGCCACATAGAACTCTAAAATAATTGTCAATCAGCCCATAATTATATAGTCAGTGAATGGGGAGTAGATACATAGATAATTCAAAATTTATGTAATCTTTGGAAGGTGAAAAAGAGAGATGAGAATTCACTCTCCTTTCCCTCTAAGTCTAGTCACTTCCTCCCAAATGAACCCCACCATGTTCAGCTGACAGGAGAAAGTATGTTTCTTTCTAAAAACTTTACATCTCCTCCTCCTATACCGCGTGCTCTAAGGAGAATTGCAATAAAACTCTGGTTATTTTTTGTCCTGTTTCTAAAGCTAAACATGCATTCCTATCTCTCCATTCATCAAGTTTGCTTTGTTTCTGTTTCCCTTCTACAAGGACCTTCCCTCTTCAGACGTGGGAAGGAGTTGCCAGTGCTGGCATTGCATGTATTTAAGAGTAGTAAGTCCTGGGTTCTCCTCACACCTCTGGCCTCATTGGCATTATTCCTAGGGGAAGTAATGGCATGAGAATGAACAGAGCTCCAGGCCTTTTTCAAACAAATGGACTGGTTTTCTCAATAGTTAGAGCCCTGTGCTCAAGGAGTCCAGACTATGATCTGATTGTCACAAGCAGTCGTGTTCTCTGCACAGAGAAATCTGAGCCTGCCCCTACTGGGCAGCTCAATGCAGGTGTCCACTCACTGCTGGGAGAAATACCTCACTTGCCTGTCTTCATGATGGCCCCTCACAGTCAGGTGAGGGATGACACATTCCTTGGTGCCCCTGGCCAAGCTTTCGTGGTCTTCAGTCTTGGGCCTCTGCAGCTGGCAGTGACCAGGTGGCAACTGTAGCCTCAGCTGACCCAGAGAGGGTAGGAAGGCAGTCTGCCGCTTGGCTGGTTTGGAAGCTGTGCTGAATTCCTGCCCATCTGTTCTCCCAGCTGAGCCAAGGCCAAAGCCATCTACCTCATGCCAACCCAGGGAGTGACACAGAGCACCACCACTGAGCGTCCGCGCTGGTGTCCTGCAGCCCTCGTCCTCACTGACCTCTGCGGAGAGAGACGGCCCTGGGCTCACAGCTGGTGTTTGTCCACAGATGTCCATGGGTTTCTGTCTTGTGTTCTCTCATTTTTCAATGCCAGCCTGGAGCTGGGTGTTGGGGCCAACATCGCCACTGACATCCTGTGGCTCTGAGCAAGTCCTCACGGCCACTTCTCAGTTTTCTCATCTTTGTAGAGAATAATCCCTGCTATCCTTCCAGGGAGACTGAGAGAAAGGGGAAGAGACTGCTACCATTTTTCCTATGTCCACCTACTTCCCTACTGCCAGATCCCTGATTTTTCATGGGGTGACAAGTTACCAAGTGAAAGCACTACAATTTTCCAGCCCAATCCCCACCCCATCCCCCGTTGCAGTAAGATGTGGCCACTGAGACATAAACACTATTGAGTGGGACTTCTAGGACAGTTCTTTATGTTTGTGTGTTTGTTTTTTGTTTTAGCCTCCAGAATATCCTAGACTATAGGAGAGTTCTTTAAAACTGAGAGGAACACCCCCTTTACCTCTTGTTCTTCCTCTTTTCATTCTTGGAATGCAGAAGCCTGAAGCTCCTGAGGCTGGAAGCTCTGCACGGAGGATGGAGGTGCAGAAGAGAAGGAGCCTGGTTCTCCAAGCACATTCGAGGCTGCCATACCAGTCCTGCACAGTATCCCTGTGCATTCCTTTCATGTGAACACATAAACCTCTAATTCATTGAAGCCACTGAGGCCAGGCCTCTATTAGTAATTCCTAACTAATGCATCACAGTTGCATTAGTTAGGAATTACAAATTCAAAGTAATTGACAAAAATGGCATCACAGACACTTGAAATCCAAAGGTGGTGCCTGTTCTTTCTTCTGTTCTCTGCAGGCACCAGCACTGAGACTGTATGTACATCAGGGTTGATGCCTGGCCATTGGGTGGCAGTGAATAGTGAACAGTCAGGAGTCTCTGTGCTGTCACTTCTGGCATCTCCGATCCACACTGGATCCAAACAATGAGGGAGGACAAGTGTCTTCTCATAGGATTTATGGAAATAATAGTAGCAGAAAAATAATTGGCAAGAGAGCGGACTTCAACTCTCTGGAAGCTGGTGACCACCTGTTTTTCATCTTTTCTAGTGTATTTCAAAGCAAAATCAGGGAAAGAATGAGAACCCCCAATTTGGTAGAAATTTAGAGGTCTTTTGATCCAGTCTGCCACTTGGTGCATGAATTACCTGCAGGTCATCTCTGAGAGGTGGCCTCCAGCCACTGCTTGAATGCCTTCAAGGATGGGGTGCTCACTGCGGCTTTTCTAATCAGCTCTGATTGTTGGGGATGCCGTGAAACTTCCATCCATCGGTCCTAGTTCTGTTTCTGGGGTTTCCTTTCCACTTGTTAACGCTCAACTATTTGAAGATATCAGCCATGTCCTCTGAGACTTCTCTTCTCCGGGCCAATCATCCTTAGTTCCTTTGACTCTTTTTTTTTTTTCTCTGGGAAGTTATTCTTTACTTTTAGTCTTATTTATTAAAAACCAACTAATGCTCATTCAGCAAGTAAAACAGTGAAAAACAAAAATCAAAACTACATTCTGAAGAGTAAGCAAAAAAAGAAAAAATATAAAAAAGAATTTAAAAAATCAAAATTACATGTATTTGGTGATAACTACTATTAATATCTTGTTAATGTTTCCTCCCAGATTCTTTTCTGCATAAATGGTAATAATAATAGCCAACAATTTATATATAAATATAGACTTACAGAGTTTTGCATTAAAAGGTTTTTTTTTTTTTTTTTTTGAGACAGAGTCTCACTTTGTAGCCCAGGCTAGAGTGAGTGCGGTGCTGTGGCGTCAGCCTAGCTCACAGCAACCTCAAACTCCTGGGCTCAAGCAATCCTCCTGCCTCAGCCTCCTGAGTAGCTGGGACTACAGGCGTGCACCACCATGCCCGGCTAATTTTTTGTATATATGTTAGTTGGCCAATTAATTTCTTTCTATTTATAGTAGAGACGGGTCTCGCTCTTGCTCAGGCTGGTTTCGAACTCCTGACCTTGAACGATCTGCCTGCCTCGGCCTCCCAGAGTGCTGGGATTACAGGCGTGAGCCACCGCGCCTGGCCAAAAGGTGTTTTGTTAATAATCTGCTTAGCACAGTGCCCGGCACATGATCATACCAGGTAACCTTTTTTGGAGCACTTTATTAAGTGCCAGAAACTCTTCCAAGTTCTTTACATGTATTAAATCACTTAACCCTAATACCCATTTCAGGTATTATTTTCCCCCATTCTATAGAGAAGGAATCTGACTCTTAGATGTGAAGTAACCTGCTCAGTCAAGAGCACCATGGAGATTTGAACACAGGTAGTGTGACCCTTGGAACCTGCATTGTTGCTCACTAGATCATTAATTCCCTAAAAACAAAGAGAAAAGGAAGCACTCAATAAATAGTAGCTAGATTAAGCCTTTTTATAAAGGAAATCTCCTAAATTGTTGAACTTTTTTTAAGTCCTTAAAAGAAGGACTAAGGGAGATTATAATATTTTCTTGGGGAGAGTTTTATAAACAAATATCGAGTTATTTTCTGTGCCATCCATCTGGATTATATGACTTTGTAAAGAGGAATCTATGCGTCTAAAAAGCATAATGTCTCATATCAGAGTATTACTTAAAGCACATTT